TTGAAATTATGCTAATGCCAATTATGCACAATTGTAATATTCAGTTAATCTAGATCATATTACTGGCCGCGTAGGTTATCGTTTGTGAAACGTGCATCACGAATGCATGCCCCGTTTTTGTACATTTGTCACTATTGTCGCATCTGCATAACATAAAAAAGAGACAAATAATTTAACAATAAAATAATTTATGCATGAGTGAATGAATATTCGTATTCGTAATACGAATTTTATACTTTATCTTGTTTTTAACTATAATGAATTATAACAAAATTATAATATACTAATAAATTATAATATTATTAATATTACGGACATTTTATAAATTTATCATTAAAAAATGCACATAATGTTGTGTTTTTTAGTTACCATAATTGTCGTTTGTCGATTATTATATTTTCATCCGGGCAGTTGTAGCGGTTTCAGATCAGGAAACTGTATTTAAAAAATTATTTGGAGAAATACAGACGGTGCAGCACGTTTGTTTAGTCTCAGTCTCAACTTGCAGTTTATCACCCTTGCTTGAAAACTTCGTCATGAATTACCTCGTATTGAATTGATTATTATTTTGAATAAATATTTAATTCTCGATTAGAATAAAAAATTTATCGTTATTTGCTTATGTTTCTTTATTATTTGAATTATTCATATTATACATCACCTTCTCGCAAGTCTGTTTCCGTTTAAAAGACTAAATGGAACTAAAAATAACATTAAAAAAAAAACTTTGCTTAAATCTATTTATTTATTACATATGTATGATATACATACGCGAACAAAATTACACAAATGTTATTTTACAAAATCATGAATATTACAAATCAACACAAGTAAACACCCTATGAATTTGCAATTTAAAATAAAATTATTATACTAATTTGACAATTGGCTTCTGATCGCCAAGGTAAGACTCAATTCTTAGCAGAAAAGATGCATTTATCGTTGTTTTAAAAATCTTTTGATTGTTCTTGTGTTGAAGCATCTTCGCTACGGAGTTATAACTTTTTCCTCGAGGTACTTTCGAATCCACTTCACGTAAAAATAAACTCGCGTGAATACATCTGGACGTCCTTTAGCGCAAGGCACCCCCCAGGACGACCACGCCAATCTGCTCACCATTGGCTACCAGAGGACCACCAGAGTCGCCCTACGTACAGAATAATGTAACAAATTCTCTCTTTTAAATTGTTCCTGACTTCTTTTTAGCGCATGTCACAATTGCAAACTCATGTTATTGAATTTTATTGTTATATATGTTAGACAGATAGTTAGGTATATTCATTGTTCTTCTTAGGGTTACAATCGTTCTTATAATTTAAATCTAATTTATCTTAATATCTTGCAAACTAACTAATTGCTCGCTACACACACACACACACACACACACACACACACACACACACACACACACACACACACACACACACACACAC